AATACTAGGGATTGAACTCAGGTCCCTGAGCTTGCGAGGTTGGTGGCAGAACCACTGTGCTAAATTCCCGGCCATTTGGTACTGTTAGTCTACTAAATTTAACCAAATTTTCAAATCTATATAACACTATTTCATTGTGGGTTTTTTTTTTCTTTTTCTCTTCCTGGTACCAGGGATTGAACTCAGGACCTCATGCTTGCTAGGCAGTCATGGCAACACTGTGCTACATTCCCAGCCCCCACCATGGTTTTAACGTATTTCTTTGATATTAATGGTTTTGAGCATCTTTTCAAAAGCTTATTGTACACTCATACATCTTCTTTGGTATAGCGTCTGTCCACATTTTCTATTTAGGTTTTTATTGGGTTTTCTTCTTACTGAGTTGTATGAATTTTTATATAATCTAGACTCAAATTCTTTGTCAGATATTTGAATAGAAGACATTTTCCCTTATATCCCTGGCATTGATTTACTGGTAGATTTACTTTCTAATGGTAGAAATTTAAAATTCTGATGAAATCCATTTTATCAAGTAGTTTTAGTAGCTTTTAAGTTCCTTAGTAACAATGAGTGTGTAGTACTCAGCTAATTTGTTTTGAAACATCTTTTTTTTTTGGTACCAGGGATTGAACTTGGGACCTTGTGCTTGTGAGGCATGTGGCAGCACCACTAAGCTAAATCCCTGGCCCTGAAACACATTTTTCATAGAAGAAACCAGAATTCCTTGGAGAAATGGCTGATTTTAAAGCTGAGATTAGTAAAATATCAGATGAACATGGAGGATCTTATTACTGTGTCAAAAAGGAAGAATATGATCAAAGAAAGAAGGGATGTGTCACTTGGACACAGGAACCATTAGCCATTCACTCTCTACTGAGCGAAAGACTTTCCTTATTACAGAATGCTAAACATTCTAAAAGAAATATAGAACTAGAACTATCACCACTGAGGTGCATCCATTTGCCTACAAATGCCTCAAATTTATCTTTATTTATGGCAGATTAGTACTCCATTTCTTATAAATATCACAGTTTCTTTATCCATTCATCAGTTGAGGGACATATATGCTGCTTCCAAGATTTAGCTAATATGAGTTGTGTTGCTATAAATACAGGTATGCATGGATCTCTGTTACAGGATGACTTTAACTCTCCTGGGAATATAACTACAAGGGGAAGAGCTAGGTCAAATGGAATTTCTATTTTCACTCTTTTGAGGAATGCAGAGTAATAACTGTTATTATAAATGCTAAAACTAGCAAGTGAAAGTTTTAAATACTCAAAGTATCTCTACTATAAGTCACTCATCAATTACAAAGGAAAATGATTTTATAGTGGGATCACATGGCAGATACCATATTAACCAAGTGATTCAAGTTAACAACACTAGCAACAGGCTATCGTGTCTGTTGATATGACACACTGACAAGAACCCAACACTTCTATGCCATTTCTTCCAAAAATGTATTACCTGAATGTAATGAGGAAATATTATTAGACAAGTCTTAAGTGAGGGACATTCTATAAAATATAAATGGCCTATACTTTAAAAAATGTTAGGTATAAAAGTCAAGAAAAATCTGAAGAACTGTTCCATATCAAAGAAAACTAAAGAGACGTGGTAACTAAATGCAACACAGGATCCTGGACCCGATGTTTTTCTTTTGTTATTAAGGAGATTGATGAAAAAGTGCCAAATATGAATATAATCTCTAGGTACAGTCTCAATGAAAATTCTGAGTACGGTAACTGTGGGTATATTGGGACACTGTTATTTTTAGGAGTTGTATGATAAAAATATTAATAGGAAAGTTACCCTATCGGCAACACTTTCAAATGGTTCGGGGGAAAAAATATGTACATATGGACAGACAGAGAAGGATAACACAAATGTGGTTAAATGTTAGCCTTTGAGGAAACTGGATGCAAAATATATAGGAATTCTTTGTAGTATTTATTATATAAAAAATAAAATTATGACATAATAAGATAGATAAGATGACATAATAAGAAGACATTTGATACACAATGACTTCCTTTACTTAGCAAACATACCCAGATTTTCGATGGTATAATAGCGTTGTTTATAGTCCACTTTGATAGTCTGAGCATGAGGACTACCAATGCCATAACCAATGGCATAACCTCTCACCACAACGTTTTGATTTTCTGGCGGAGTCCAGCTTACTACAATGCTAGTGACAAGTGGGCGAACATGAAGAGAGCTTGGTACCTCAGGTACACGAGTTTCTAGGAAGGAAAGTAGAAAAGCAAATGAGATGTATTTTCCTTTATAATATTTAACCACCCTTGGGGAATGTTCAGTCTCATGCCAAACTATCTGGGCACAAGAGTTCAAAGAGAACAGTGAAATATGGTCTAAGGGTTTACTGCTTCCTGAGAAGAAAACAAAACCCAAATAGTATTAAATGTATGATACTGCAATATTAATTTGTAAAGACAGATCCAGAGCCTCTGTCCAATGGAAGAAAACAAATTGCCTTAAACAGTTGCTCATCCCTTGCCCCAGATCCCATACCTAAGATCTCACAGGGGTAAGGGACAAGAAATTAGAATTCTGTTGTCAATGGGTGATGAAGCATCACATTATAGCAATGGTACAAATTATTTACTCTCTTAAATAATCTATAAATCAGAAAAATAAAATTTGAGAGCTATAATTAATTATTGATAGATGACTGAAAAGCTTTTTAAAGGAAGAAATTTATTATCTTTCAATATATTACTTGAAGGCATAAATTATTAATTTAAAAATTAGTAGAAGGAGACTCAGAAAAAGAATCCAGATCTTTTTGACTCCCAAGTCTGGCACCTGTCACCAATAAAGGTACTACCATATTTCAACCACACAGAGATGCTCACTGAATAGGTAAGTAAGAAAAAGGGCAAAGCATTTGGGATTAAGGAAAAGGGAAATTGTAATTGAAATAAATGTGTAATTGATGTGGCTCGACGTTAAATTTTAGATCATCCATCTACTTTATAGCTTTGAGAGGGGCTGACTTAAAGCACCTGTTCATTTTCATTTGTTCTGTTCTGCTTAAAGAGACAATTCTCTAAAGGTCACTGCAAAAGAGTCCAGTGCTGTCTTAGAGGAAGAGCAGCAGTATAATACACTAAAGTTCACAGACTGAAGCCAAAGTCTGTGGACTTCAGTGTGACTCACTGATGATGGTTAATACAGTTATCTATGATGTGCTGGTTCTGCCCATTGTTTGTTCTTACCATCTAAGTCACTTTCAAAAGTTTCAGCAGACAGCCAGTCAGTTGCTGGGCCTGTACCATTGACTGTTAGAGCAGCCACTCGGAAATTATATTCAGTCCCCCGATCAAGACCTGAGACCCAAATGAAAGGGGAAAAAAGGTGAAACAGAGCTTTGGAAAATAAAAGATTAATAATGTCTCATCAAAGCAAGTAGTTTACCCTCCAACTCATTTTTAAGTTGATTAAATTAACACAGAACAGGCAAAACATAAATATAGCTCATCTCTACAGCTAAGGGTGAACAAAGCCCACACAACCCAAGAGAAAAATGTAGAAATTACTAAAGCTCCCAGGAGATTACATATTTTGGTTTAAGACCTTGAGGACACCTTGAGCTCATTTAATGCAATCCCTTCATTTTCTTACAAAGGGTGCTAAGGTCAAGAATAATGAAAGAGATTTTACAAAGGAACAAAATCAGCTGGTTTCAGAAGACACCAAAACCCAGAAAAGAATGCAAAGATCTAACTCCTTTCAGGTTACCTATGTTCTTTGAGCACTCACATAACCACAGCAGAAAAATTTTAAACATCAAATATGGCCTAGAAATCTATTTCTCAACAATCAATTGCCCAAATGTATTTATAGCAAGTAAAAGAAAAAAACCCAAGCTTTTCTATTATGCAACTTTTTATTTACTACCAGCTTATCTACTTCAAGTACCAATGTATCAAAGGTAAGACACATGTACATATAAAGTCTATCCTATAAAGCAGCACAATAGTTAATAATAATGTGGTCACTTACTCATACATTCAGGCATATATTTTTAGAGCACTTAAATAGATATTATGGCAGGGCTTGCAAGGATTATGAAAATTATCCTATCTCTTCATATCCAAATATTGGTATGTTTGGAAAGCAGCACAAAAACTAATCACTGAGTTACTGAAAACGTAACTTGGATAGGATGTCTGGATGCAACTAGTTCAGTTAACCAATATATGATGTGGGAAGGACTGGATGGTTCTGTTCTCTATAGGCCGATCATAAATCTATTTGCCCACAAGAAAGCAAAGACAGAAAGAGAAGCAAAATGGATGGCCCCAGGCCAGCCAGTTTACTTCCCTGTCTTGATTCTGCACATACTGAACCAGAAAATGCCAGAGTGGCTGCACTATTAACAGACAACAACCTGGACCTCTAGCAAACATGGCTCAGTTAAGATACCGAAAGAATCCAACCAGTATGATTATCATTCCCTGACCTTCGGGGAGAGTCAGAACTACGACAGTGAGCAAGTGAGAGAGAGGAAAATATAGAGAGGCTAAGAATTCCTCTTCTAAGTAACTGACAGAACTTATAAACAACACACACTGTAAAGGAAGGGCAAAATGTGGTATCATATAATATGGTGCTCAGTATAGTATCTTTATAATCCATACTCTCCCCTAGTACTTATCAAGCTTCATGTTAATGTTTCAAGAGCACAAGGTCTGTTTTTGTTAACCATTACATATCAAGTGCCAATAAAGGAAAGTAAATGCTTTTCTTTTAAGACCATGCATGGGACCATGCTCAAAAAGTTGCTTTCTTTATTCTTTAGGGGGTTTTTGAGATGCTTACTATTGCTACAGACTTGACTATGATCTGAGCAAATCACATTTTGCCCTTTCCTTTATTAGTTTAACAAATGTCTATATTGTTCTCAGTTACATGTGCCTCAGAGTGGACCTCCCAAGATTCTCCTGCAAAGAAACCTTGCCCTTGCAGAGTCAACTCTATCTCTTTATGGGGAACAAAGGAGAGTTCTCTGTGGCCTACAGGATGAGAGTGGCATTTGGGCCCATTTTTACCAGATATGCATTTTATTCTTTCATACCTAGTGGGAAAACTATACAAAGGACACTCTCCCTGAGAGAACTTTCTGGAACCTTATAGTGTTGGTAATAGCAAGTGTGATTATTACACTGCTATAGCTACTCATAAATATTCTCACAGGCCACATGCCTGAGTGGTGTTGGTGTTGTAAAAATCATTTTATAAAACTGTAACCAACTAGATTCAATGGAGTAATGATTTTGCCTACAAATTCTGCTTTACCTTCCTCAGATCTAGACAAACACAATATTTATACTCAAAACAAAATATATGGTAAATATAAGGTTAAGAAATGAAAGTTACAATCTTACCACTCATAAGTGGTAGAATCTGTAAGAGTATTCTTCCATTATTTTGTAATGGGTAAGAAGCAAAATATTACAAATTTTTCAGAACCATGTTTAAGTCAACAGCTCAGAGCAGCCCTTAAGACTGGTAGAATTTAATGTTTGAGAAAGACACCATCACCTAGCTTTTGCCTATGTATAAACTAGCTTACCTTCAATTAGCTGAGAGAGCTGTGTCCCAGTTACCAAGGTCTCAGTAACATCACTTTTTCGGGAGGCCTTTCTGTAGCGAATCTTGTAGCCAGTAATTGGCCCATTTTGTGTGGCTTGAGAAGGTGGCTGCCAGTGAATCATGATACTCTGAGAAAGACAAGATTATAGGGAAAAGTTGAACATGTATAAAAGTTGGCCCTAATTGTGTATATTAACTTGGTTTTATTATGTAAAGGGACATACAACAGATAAAACGGTGCTTATAGTTTTTATTTAACAGCCATCCAAAAATATGTAATCTAAAAAATCTCATGGTCAAGACAAGAGAGGCTTTTTTTTAAGCAGTGCACTCTGAACCCTTGCTCTTCTAAGTATTTTCTCAGAAGACTCTGATCAGAAGTCCCCAAAAAGTTTTCAAAAGGAAAGCACAGGTCATGGGTGCATAGATTAGGAAATATATCATTAGGTATAATTTTACCCCCTGTCTCCAGTGCAAAAATAACTGAAATTAAACAATTTCTATCTAAAACTCTTCAAAAGGGGGACCATTAATTAACAGCTAGATGGAAGTTCTGCTGTACTTTTTGAAAGAACTGATTATTTTCCTTGTCTGTATAGCCCAATAGGGGCTCTGGGCTTCTGAGAGACATAACCTGACCAGCACTGGATGGTGAGAGCACACACAAACAGATCTACAGTGCCTGCCTTCAGGCCACACATCTCACAGGATTACAGCATCATGTCATCACTAACATTTTATTTCCTTTTGCCACATCACCATGGTTTTGAATGGTTTAGATCAAAAACATCACGTTTACATTTAAAAATGTAAATTATTCGCAGGAAGGCAAGGAAGTTTGAAGGCATCAGAGAAAGTAAAGTTAAACAAAATATACAGGTTGGTTTCTAAGTCCAGGTTTACTGGCAGGTATAACATCGATTTGTCTTATTTCTCTGATTGATAATTAGTGTTTTCAGTTATATTCTAATTCAACAGACTAGCATTTTAAAATGCAGATTGATAATTACAATACTGGCATTCACTGTTCTGACGCTTTCCCATGGTATCTCCCGCTCTGTAAGCCCTCTTGAGGCTCAGGTGTACAACAGGAAAGTGAATGGAAGGCAGCATTACAAAGTTTTACCTTTGAATTTCTCACTTCTAATGACAGATTCTGAGGAGCAGCACTGGGAACTAGATAGGCCACGAAATTGAAAGAAAGAAAAAAAAATACAAAGTTACATCACCCATATAACCTTGGCCAGATTTTACACAAATGCACATCGCAAATACTGATTATGCAAACAGAAAGTCTCAACCCATCTGCCAGTACCCTCATACTAACTGCACCAAGTGGATCAGAAGTGGCCATGTTTGATTTACTTTTTCAAATAAGACACTTTCATATGAGCAAGTATTTTTACCAAAGTCAGGCTGTACTTCTGGTCAGATACTTCATTTCAAGGAGGTACGGTGTTGTCTCAATTTTTCTAGACCCCAGTTATATCTGAACCTTAAATATATTCTAAATATTCATTTTGGGGGGGATACACATTTTCTGGAATCAAGTCTAGTGAATATGGCAAGTAACTGAAATGGGTAATGACAATATGGATCAAAATGAGATGTACATAAATCAGTGAGCTTAGCTTTCTGGTGGGGTTCTTACACTGGTTATGAAGGCAATTCCCAAGAAGAGAAAGATACTAAAGCAGTGACAGCATTAGTTAAGTGAACCATATGGCTTCCTGAGACAACTGTGTCAGGAGATTCGCCCTCAGATGTCAGTAGTTTGTGATTCTCAGTTAAACAGCTGCCCAATTTTAGTCCCTCATATACCGAAACACAACACAGGGCTATCTCAAAGTTTATGACCCCATACTTCCTCCAGTACTCCATCATGACGACGGCAAGCAAGGAGAATGTAAGTAGACCTGATTAGTTTTTTCTCCAATAAAAACGCTGACTCTAGCCCTTGTCTCCTAATCTGTTCATTGGAACTTATCTCTTCTTTTCTCTAACATTTGGTGACCAGGTTATTTAATAAATTCCAACTGTGCCAAAGATTCTGAAAGGCTGAGAATATGTCTTGCTCACTGTTCTGACTTGTGCCAACAAAGTACCTCAGCCTTCAATCCACAGATTCAAGTATGGAACAAGGGGCAAGCACCTTTGTTTGAGAACAGTCTATGAGTGATTCCAATCAACATGTTAAGAACTGACTTGGTTGCACAGGCACCCAATGCAGTGGTGACCATTGGTATCCTCATAGTTAACATGTACTGTGCTCACTATGTGACAAGTACTTAATTCTTATAACAGTCTTGCAAGGGGGTTTCTATTACTAGTCCTATATTGAGAAAACTAGAGAAGAGGTTTAAGGCTGTTAACTTGTTTAAGGTATTTGTTTCGGCTCGCAAAAGAACCAAGATTTGCCTTACCAAATTCTGCTAAGACATACCCAGTCCATTCAGTTTCCTATAGCTATCAGTCAACATGCCACCCCACTTAAGGCAGTTAAAATTTGGCTCATGTGTAGATTTAAAGCCTGTAATACATTTTCCCCCTCAACTTTTCCCCAAAATCTTAACTAATTGGCTTATGCGGTCGGCTGGTCAAATTATACTCTGTATTTTTCCCCAGCTTTTTATCCTGAAAAAAATGTCAAGCCCATAGAAAAGGGTGGCAAAAATAGTACAATGAATACTATGTATTTTTTTCCTAGTTTCATCAATTACTAATACACCTAATAACATATTTCATATTGCCTAATACTACTTTAACATTAAGTTACTGTGCTAACAGCATCCTGCATGGATGCTTTTACCACCAACCCAAGATTCAGTCAAGGATAGCACATGCTTTATTTTGTTTCATGTGCCCTTACTTTTCTTTAATCTAGATTCTACAGTGATTCCCCAGTGTTTTGTTTTGTTTTTAAGGCTAATATATTTTAAACACTTAACAGTTTACTCCACGTCATTTGGAAAATACATTTGTTTATGCAGTGACTATCCTGAGTGTTGCTCTAGCAGGTGTCATTTTTAACCAATTCTTGTATTGAATAAATTTGATAAAATAGTTTTTATATTTCCCGTTATCTTTTTTTTTTTGGTACTGGGGATTGAACTTGGGTCCTTGCACTTGCAAGGCAGGCAGCGGAACTGCTGAGTTAAATCCCCGACATATTTCCTGTTATCTTATAAACATTAATAAAAATATGCAATTTTTGTCATCCTGTATTTAAATAATTGGACTAGTAAATTGGTTAAGATTCTAAGCCAGTTTTTAAAATTTAAAAAAAATCTTTTTTTTTTTTCTTTTTTTGCAGAACTTCCATTTGAATATATCTGTTTTGTTTCCCATCATGTTCAGATTCGAGTTAAATGTTTTAGGGACACAACAGAAGTGAGGCTGTGTCCCTCTCTGTGCAGCCTACCAGAGACATGTTGTCAGTCTAGTCCTTTATTGATGATAATAAATTTGATTATCTGCTTAAGGGAGTCAAACTGTATCTTCTGAAGCATGAATATTAACACACATGTATCTCCTATATACATATACACTTTTAAAAAGACATTGTAATAAAACACTGGATCTGGATTTAGCTGAGTTTCATGAAACAAGTTATCCTAAGTGCAATGAACTCTGATATTTTCTGTTCTAGATTTTTTAAAAAAAATACTAGTCTTGATCTACTTAATCTCTTTGGCAGGCTATAGTTCGAAAAATACTGCACTAGGTCATGGATATGTGTAACTTTATTTAGAATTCAGTCACAGATAAGGAATAAACTGTCACAAAATATTGACAAGTTAAAAATACCAATCTAGCAAGTAAATACAATTGCTGCCTAGACTACAGCCTTCAAATAGCCCTAATATGTCTGCATAATGAACAAGCAATAGTATTTACTTACACAGAAGCCTATGCTAAACCTGTAAACGCTTGAAAGCCAATTCAGTTAAGATGCTGTACATTCTGTGCTTTTTCTGTGAATCTTTACATATGAAGCTGGTGCCATCTACATTTTACATGTGAAGAAAAATGCTCAGAGAAGTTACGTTGCTTCAAAGTCATGCCTACTATTTAAGGGGCAGAACCGGGATCTGAGCTAAATTTTCTTGAAATCAAAGCTCATGATCTTAGTACTACACGAGAGGTACCAAGTGTGGTATTTTGTACCAAAGGGAAGAAAGACTTACCATCTGATAATGTGCGAACAGCAACATCCTGTGTGGAGACTCCAGGACCATGTTTATTGTAGGCCACCACTCGGAAACTATACTCTGTGTATTTTTTCAAACCATGCATGGTGTAAGAATGACTTGAAACATCAACATCCTTGAATAAAATAAAACACTGTATATATACACATCTCAAGCCAAAAGAAATACTACAAAACAACTGACTATAGGTATTCTATATATACACAATACAGAGTTTTATTCCTTTTTTTTTTATACTGGGGATTGAACTCATGACCTTGTACTTCCCAGGAAAGTGAGGTGCCACTGAGCTACAGCCCCAGCCAGAGTTTTATTCTTTTTATAGAATGTTAATGATTAAAGAAAAAATAATGATAAATACTGGCAATTTACTTAGAAGTATTACTTGCTATTTAGTTACCCTTGGTAAAAACTACAGAATAAATCTAAGTACAAAGAAAGAGACTCCATCAACTTTTCATTTCTTATGTAAATCACCCCACCCCAATTTCTAGTCAAGCAACTACTGATTTTAGAAATGTTTTTCAACTCTACTATTCTAAGCAATGGTTTCAACATGGCTTAATTTTATACCTGCTCAATGTCAGTCCCTTTTTCCATGTAGTACAATTTGTAATTCTGAATTTCCCCATTGCCAGATACTGGTGTTTCCCATGTGACAGTGATGGAAGTAGGTGACGTTGCATAAGCCCGGATATTAGGTGCAGGGCCAGGGAGCTGAACTAGAAAGACAGTTTGAAGAGAGCAAGATACAAATGAGATTTACCACACTCCTCAATGACTGTTCTCAGCAATACTTTCATACTAGGCCATGTCATAAAAGCCAAGAAAGCAAATGATTTAATTGATGTGGTTTTATGGAAAATATAGACTTTTATTTTCCTTTTTATGACTAAAGTGGAAAGCAGAAATTATCTGTGAAGTATCTTCCATTTATTTAAAATAAAAGAATATGTATAAAGAACTCTTCTGTGGTTTATAACATACTAGTTTTTGGAACCAGCAAAAGAAGAGATCTTTCCTCTGCCAAAAGCCATGTCAGGCTCTGGGGACAATGATGGACAGGGTTCTTGTTCACAAAGGACTCCAAGTTTGGGATGAGAGTTGGATGTAAAAACAGTTACAAACATCATGAGTGTGCACAGATTTTGGTGTGGATGTAATGAAAACTAAAAAAATATACAATTCTGCTGTGAGAGGAAAGCAAGAGACTCAATGAAGGTCTTCACAGTCAAAAAGAATAAATGGTTTTCTCAGAACCAAGGAAAAAATGACTCGAGTAACAAAGTCATTTAGGAGGACACATGGGAAAAGAGTGTTACACTGTTCAGGAGGTTGCAACACAGAATGGATGTGGAAGATAATACTGAAAACAATGATAAGAGCCAGATAGTGAAAAATCTCGAATGTCCCATTCTGGAGTTAGGATTTTTTTTCTAATAGGTAGTAGGCAATTACTGAAATATGAACAAGATTATGACATGAACAGATCTGTATTTAGGACGGACATGTAAACATATATAGAAGCACAATAATAAAGGAACAAAACCAAATAAAAAATAAAATTAAAAAAAATCACTACCATTTATTGAATAATTACAATCAGTCAAGTATTCAGTTCTTTGTTTTTTCCCAATGAATCTCTAACCCAAAACAGTTACTATCCCATTATTTACAAACGAGGTTTTGATGTTAAGAGCATTTCTCAAGTGATGGGAAAATTACAGCGGTAGAGGCAGGAGCTAGGCACATTCTGATTCTAAAAACAAGCTCAAAGAGACCAGGAAGAAGATTACTGCAACAGCTACAGCAAAATGCATGACTAGAAGCATGGATTGCTGGTCCACTCATAGGCTATTCAATGGCCAACTGGTGGAATTTCTATCTTACTTCTGCAATACCTCACATACTGACCTTTCTGCGACATCCTTTCTTTCTGACAGACTCTAGCCTCAATTTGCATGCACATTTTGAGTAGTTGCCCATGCCTACACTTTGGCAGACATCCTATATTTGAAAACAATTTCTCTGGCACTGGTGTCTTTGCAATAGACATCAATCAGGTTGAAGAGCTGGAAAAGGGAAAAAACTAACAAAATGTAAAAAAACTGGCTTTCTTGTAAGAGCACTACGACCTAAGATTTGTTTTGCTACCAAAGTAGAGAAACCTGAACATAGTTACTCTAACAGTTGTTTGCTTTATTTAGCCATGAATTATATTATTCATTTAATGTTAAGAGCGTATTTTGTGCTGCCTGACAGGTGGGGATTTGTCACACTTCTGCTGCTATGGAAAACTGGAAAACTTTTCTCTAACTTATTAAAGGGGAAGGAAAACAAGAGTCCCTAAATTCCCTTGAAATCACTTTTAATATATTCATTGGCAAAGTGCAGGCAAATATCCTAAAAAAGACACTAATGAATTTTTCCATTTCAGCTGTATGGTGCCATAATAAATGGAAGAAATTTAAAGTAGGTTTATGAAGCGAAATATGCAAAATATTTTCCAAGGTCTGACTCCAATACTTATGCCTCCCCCACACAAGCTGCGTATCTCCTGCTGAAATACAAATTTCTCTCCACTCCATTTCTCTTTTGACAAAACATGTTATGGTCGTTTTCCAACCACACAACACACACAGCAGAACTTATTGTCCCTTCCACCTATATTCTTTCTTTCTTTTAACCAAACTTCTTCAACGAGTGACTGTGCTGCCCTCTTTCCTTGTGACGACAGCACCTCACTACTGTGTGCTTACCATCTCTTCTCACCTTGTGAATAGAAATCAAGCTTTACAGAATTCTGCACTAGACCAAATCCAGGGGCATTCATTATTATCGTGACTCACCTGTAGGTACACTGTTTAGTCCTGTTTCTGGGATTTCCAGCATGTAGCCTCTTTCCCTAAGAATGCCTAGGATAAGTCAAATGCTTCAAAGTCAACCTCAGGCCCTATCTTTCCCTATGATCCCGCCTTGACTTACCTATCTTTTATAGTAACTTTTCCTTATTCTGAATCAAATATCTGTCATATATGATGCCTTTACATAAAATATAATAAACTTGAAATCTATTGGAGTATTCCTGTGCTTGTCTAAACAAGGATAACTGAAATTCAATGTCCTTTCTCTGTAAGAGAACACATCCTTCTCTTTAATCAACTCCTGGGCCCTCTGATGTCCCCTTCTTGTCTGGGTGTGATTCCTGATCTTCAATTTCTATCACTGAAATGATCAATGGTCTCCTATCTCTACTTCTCATTCTTTAAGAGGAGAAATATTTCTAAGTTCATCCCTGTAAGTCTAAAACTGCAGCATAGTGAGCATAGAAGTAGCTCAAAAGTTTGATGAGTAATCTGCTAGAGCATTAAAAAGTAAAATCCACTACTTCTTGACTTTACCTGCTCTACCCATCAAGTAAGATCCTTGAATTACTTCCATAGTTTCACTGATAAATTCATTCATACTGTTTAGTTCTTGGGTCAGCAGTTATCACAAATGAACCTCACATGTGCCCTACTTGAAGCAAAATCTTTATTACTTTTAAGGTCTATGAATTTGGAAAAGCTACCACAGTTAGCAGTAAAAGTACAATGGAGAATGCTTTGAGGAAAAACAATGGTTGGTGTTAAAAGAAAGCACAAACACAGAAGAAAGCTTCAAGTAGGAAAAAACATTACTTGTAACTTGATTGTTCCTTATAATTTTGTGCCCACAGTGTACAACCAAAACTTAATGTATACAGGGCATTTACAATATAAAACAACGTGCCTCAGTCGTAAAAAAAACTAATAAATGTAATTAGAAGTAATATTATTTAGCACAAAAGGCCACATGTCCAAAATAAAGGATGCAAGGCTTTCTAACAGGTGAGGTATGGATGAAGACAAGGCAATCCAGTTGATGAGAATTATAAATATCCACTCCATGTGCAAGGCACTCAAAGATCTTGTGGCAAATATCCATAAAAAGATACTCATAATCACAACTGAAGGAGGTAATAACATCTCAGAATTGTATAGATATCAGAGTAGACAGAATCAGAATGATTCAGGAAGGCATCTGAGCTAAGTGTTAAAGAATCAATATAACATGAATACACAGAAAAGCATCAGGAGAATTATACACTGCTTTACACTATTTGCAGCTGTGTGATGGAAATTCACTTTGTCTTTCCTATTTATAAGGACCATGAAGATAAGCACTTTTATGTTCTGCTTCTGGTGGTCTGTAAGGCTAAATACAAGACCTCCATCTGGGAGGGGCTGGCAGACAGGTGAAGACTTACCCTCAGGCTGTGTTTCTACTCGTAATGGAGCAGAATTCTCTCCGGAGCCATGCTTATTTTGAGCCACAACTCTGAAGATGTACACGGTTGCTGGCATTAGGTTTTGAATGGTTACCTGCATCTCTCCTGGGCGACTAGTATTCTCAACACGCTCCCTTTAGACAGAAAAAGGTTTGAAAGGAAAAACTATCATTTAGGAATACTTCCAGAAAGTATAGTTTCAAAAGTCCATTTCACATCAAGGCAATCCAATTAAATCAAAATTTAATAATTTAAGTGAAATTTATTCTTAATAAATAATGTTTTGGGGGTTAACACAGAATATGGAGACTGGCAAAAGATAAAGTCATATCTAACAACTCACTAATGTTCTTGCTTAGATGTTATTGGTATCACTGATCATAATCAATTTCCTTTTAGAGAAGGCAGGGGTCCTTAAGGCCATTTCAAATGGAGCATCTGGCTGTCAACTCTATAGGCTTTAGTAATCAGTAAAGGCTTGTGTGTGTGTGTGTGTGTGTGTGTGTGTGTGTGTGTACCAGGTGGGTGCACGTGGTACTGAGGATTGAACCCAGGGCCTTCACACTGACCTACACTCCCAGCCTTTTTTGGTTTTGAGATAAAGTCTCACTAAGTCAGTAAGTTGCCCAGGCTGTGCTTGAAGTTTTAATCCTGCCTTAGCCTTGTGGAGTTCTGGGCTTACAGGCATGTGCTATCACACCTGGCTTGAAATCACTGATTTCTAAGGAATGACTCCTAGGGAAATGGACAGAAAGTGGTTGTTGGTATCATCTAATTTTCACAGAAAATGTGAGGGAATGCATTTTTTGGGTTTTTTTTGTTTGTCTGTTTTAGGTACTGGGGATTGAACTCAAGAACTTGTGCTTTCAAGGCAGGCACATTGCAAGGAATGCATATTTGAATGAGACTCTTAAATTTAAAAAAGCTAGAGGTTATCACTGTTTAATTTGGGAATAAAAACATTAAAATTACACATGTAACCCAATTTATAAAAGAAGGTGATTTGTGATACTGATTTTTATAATTTGATATATTCCTTCTGAAGGAAGGTTTTCAAACAGATCTAAAATGTTTGAAAAATCTCACAAACACCATGAATGAGTTGGTAGCTGATGTTATGAGATGCAAATGTAAAAGTACTTATCTGAGCGGTGGGGAACGTATGACACGTTATTGTTTTTAAGACAAAAGATGTTAATGTATGAATTGTTTTTTCTAAACTAAAACTTAAATATTTGGGTTTAACTGGAGTGTTAGCTCTATGTGATAAATAAGTTGGTCTTGGGCTGCAGTTTGGGTACTCAGTCTCTAAGAGGTTCACCATCACTGATGTAAGTTCACAGAAAGGTTGCTTTCACGCTCTGTCTTGGGCTTTGCATGTACAAGTTAAGTCCAGAATTATGCACCGGCTACTAGATTTTTGTCATGGGTTTTCAACAAATGTTGTGAAGGAATTTGTTTTAGACAGTTGGCATTTAATAATTGTCATTCAAGGAAAAAAAGAGCTGTATCTGTCTTGAACAAGAAATTTAAAAACTCAAAACTACCCTGGAAGAAATTATTGTGAATTACCTAACCTGTTAAATCAAAATCTTACATTAAAATACTAAGTTGTCCTAAAATTGCTGATTAAAATTTGTTTACGTCTATGTGAACAGTTACAAATCTGTATGATTTGTTTGTTTGTTTGTTTGTTTGATACCAGGGATCAAACTTGGGACCTTGCACTTGCAAGGCAGGCTGCAGCACCACTGAGCTAAATCCCTGGCCCTATATGATTATATGTTAACGATGGCATCTGAGATTTAAATGTATTCAATAGTTCTTTAGGTACCTTATTTTCATTAAACATATATGAAACCTAGGGGTGTAGCTCGGCACTTGTGTCACAAGAAAGTATTTACAGAGATGGTTTCACTACTATTTATTTAGGCCCACTAGAACAGAATATTGTGGTAACAAAAATTGTTTAAAATTTAATACTTCTTCTGAATGATTTTCAAACTAAACTGAATTGTCTGACAAATCTCACAAACCCCATAAATGAGTCTGGTAGTCTATGTTATGAGGTGTTTATAATTAGTATTTTTTCTTCTGACTTCTAAATAACAGGACTTAGAAGGAGAACAGCAACTGATTTCTTATACAGTGAAGTTTCTGATACTTGGTTTGATCACAAATGAGTGCTATTTAAAAGGAAGCATGTTTCATATTAAACTAAAATCTCCATAAGAGAGCTTAGGTCTTTTCTGCTCACCCTTTATATAGATTTTTAAAAACAGGTTCTCTTTCAGAAAGATAACTTGCTGTGGGGTTGGCTGTTTTACTCGTAAGGGAAAGCCTGTCTCATTCATGTCCACACACTACTGAAGCAAGAGGCTAAATGCTTGTATAGGAAGGCAGTCCCACCCACAGATACAGAATGAGTGAATGAAAATGTGCTTTCTGATGTGTAAATCTTATAGAAATGATATCAAGTATATCTTGTTTGTTCCTGTCTAAAATGGGAAAAACAAAGTTACCAAAACCAGAAACAAATTTCCAAAGAAGCATTAATATAAAAAGGAAAACAGTTACAGATATGATTTGTTAAGATGGAAGACACAGAATCTGAGATGGTTCTTCCATTAGTTTCATCCAATGTCCCAGGACTAAATCTCTACCCAGAAAAAACTTTGCCTTTAGGACATGATCCAAGGAGCGTTAGAAAAGGCAATTATCATAATGCATGGAGTTACAAGGGGACTTATGTTAGAATGTGATAGGTAAGAGTCAAAAGAGAAACAAAGAAAAAGATACACAGTATATTAAGGTTGTAGTAGGCCAAACTTTAGATCCAATTCTAGTTGTGGCAGTGCTACCAGATTTCTAGAAGACTGTGTGCAAGTACTGGCTCTTTCTGGGTCCCACTTTCCTTATGTATTACATAAAATAATGAGATGGTTGGATAAACTTTTTTAAAGAGCAGGATATTTATGGGCAAAATGGAAGCCATTACATACTTACATAACCTTTTAAAATGTAATTATTAAAAAATATAAAAACTATTCTTCTTACTTCCTGGGCCATACCAGTTGCAGCAGATTTGGCCTGGTTGGGGGCGGGGGGTGTCATAGTTCGCCAACTCCTGAGCTAGACTAACAGATATCTAAGAATTTATCTATCTACAAAATGCTATCAAGAATAGTTTATTCTCTATTCTCTAAGTAATGGCCAATATCAGAAAAGTACTACTGTTTTTTTTTTGTTGTTGTTGTTACCAGGGATTGAACTCAGGTCTTTGCACTTGCAAGGCAGGCAGCGGAACCACTGAACTAAATCCCCAGTGCAGAAAAGTACTACAGTTTAAATTAAAGGCCTTTAAAAAAAGGTAAAAATTTTAAAACTGAAACTGAAAAAGTAGAAGAAAGGCTCTTAAACTTCTGGCAACTCAAGTGCCCAACAAAAATACAGCTCAAGACTAAGGCACACAGTGCCACCTGGTGGTTCAATTTTCAAATATAGAAGAGGGGGAATTTGCAAATGAAGGTTGTATATAATACAACCTTACTCTGAATTATCTGGATTCTTTTCCCCCTTTTTTTTTTTTGTACCAGGGATTAAACTTGGGTCCTTGCACTTGTGCTTGGGAGAGAGGCAGTGGAACCACTGAGCTAAATCCCAGGCCAACCCTGAATTCTTTTTATAAAAAGTCTGTGAAGTAATTTATTACTCTTGCTTTTTAGATGAGAATATTTAAGCTTAGAAAGGTTAAATTCTGCTCATTACTACTCCTTCACTGCATCTGTTCAGAAAGCATAAACTTAAAGTAATAAAGTAATAAAAAATAGCACAGTCTGATTCTTCCTTTCAGGTATTTCCCAAATCCACTCCACACCACTGCTCTCATCTTCACTAAGGGTATCACCCAGGCAACACATTTAGATTAACATAATTACTATCGAATTTATTTCCCTAGCCCCATTTCCTCCCCTCTATCTTTGTAGTGCTCTCAAAGTACTGCTAAGACAGATGGCTTAATATAATCACAGTGTACACCTGTTATAGAGTCTATTTTAAAATACTATCTGATTATGTCAAGATTCTTACTGGTATTCCAACATCTGGCTCCAAACTTCCACTTTACTTTCTCTCTTAAGAATTCCGATCAATCAATCTCTGGGTCAGGCAGGCTAACTTTCTGGGCTCCCTATCCTCACACCAAGCACCAGATGGAACCAGACCAACTCCAAACTCATATATTAGTTATCTCTACTTACTGCAACCCATGATCCATCTTGCAAAATTAAAATGTAAGAGATAAGTCTTCATTAAAAACACATGAATATAAAATTTAAAATAAATTCAAATTATCCTCAAAAACCTATCCTACACTGAGACCCGACTATGGAAACTATGTACTAATGTGTATCTCATCACATCTCTTCACACCAGGGTTTCTCAACTTTAAACTACTGAGATGTAGGGCAACACAGGATATTTACCAGCAACCCCTGGCCTGTAAGTACTTACTAAATGCCAGTAAGCACTGATCTTACTCCAGCTGTGACAATAAACATATGTTACCAGGTGCTGCCAAATAATCCCTGAGACATGGAGAGAAAATCTGTTCCTGGTTAAAAACCACTGTTCTAGAGGCAGGCGTAGTGATGCACGCCTGTAATCCCAGCACTTGGGAGGCTGAGGCAGGAAGATTGCTGCCAGCTTGAGAACAGCCTGAACTACAACAGTGAGACCCTGTCTCAAAAAACCAAAAATACCCCAAACCCTCACAAAAAGAGAAAACCACTCTTCTAGGCATTTACATACACATTAAAATATACAGATAAGTCATTAAAAAATCTGCTGCATCATACTTCATATAGATATACATAAATGCCCACTGCACTATTAATGGGCAATTACACAGTTTCATTTAAAAATCTTAAAACAATGCTATAAAATTTTGTGACTGCCTTACATATATGTGTCTATGAAGTATAATTAAAATATAATCACTGTTTAAATTTTAAAAATTATTACAGTAAAAGATATACTGCCATTAACATTCACAGTGGAGCCATAATTCACAGGTCTCCCTGCTGGGAGGCTCTGATTTGACCTGACTGTCCCATTGAGCAGGGTTAACCACCAGTGGTACACGAATGACTGTACCACTAGGTGGCTTGTAGTGCTTCTCAGGTGTCTGATTACAATAATGTAAAGAAAGGAGTTGATTTAGCAGACCAGATGTTAATCATACTATAGTTCTTTAAAGAAAACATTAAAATGGTATAAAAATTGTAAAACAGCTAATTTGTGGTACAAGAGTTGAAAATGCATATTACATACACCAGCAATGGGGTACTCATAAGACTTCCATGTTAAATTTAGAGAATTACTTAGATAAACTATTAAAGAAATTCAAAAATATAAATTTATTTTAATTCAGTGAAATGAATTATAATTGTAATTGGTATGAATAGTATTAATTTTTTATATTGGGCAGTAATTATTCAGAGTCAAGTAAATAGATTTGGTCTATTTTAGACTTTTTATTGGTAAAAACAGAAACTGTAAAAGTGATTAGATCCACTGATATAAACTGCCTGATGGGACAGTTATACATGGACTACTGGCAGTTCAAGCTGGCAAGAACATGTTAATCCCCCTCAAAATATTCCTCCCCTCACTTTAAACATACATATCCTATTGCTTTTGCCACTCTCTGAGCTCTAGAAGTCCTCTTTTCTGTGTCTTTATCTATGCTGTAGTTGTTGCCTCAATACCCCAAACTGATCAATTCAAAATGTTTACTTTCTGTGGCCATTCTGACTTTGGGGAAGAGCCAGAGGTCACACAGTGTCAGTTATAATGAATGAGGACACGTTATAATGTTTTTAAGAGCCTGCTTTTCTTTTGGATGACACTTAGCAGCAGCAGTAATCCTATTTTTTATCACAATTCATAAAGGCAGTTAGGAAAGAGAACTTCCAGAATTGCTTCAGAAAGTGGCAAGAACAAAGAGATGTGTGTTCAAAGCCAGGGAGGGTGTCTTGAGGAGGATTAATGGAAATGTGTCTTCTATTGGAATACATTTTTAAAATTTAAACACATACCATATGTTTTGTTCAGCCCTTATACATAACAGATACCTATTAGTGTAACTGTTAGCCTGAAATCCCCAAGTTCTAGGAGGCGGAGGCAGGAGGACTGCAAATTCAAGTCCAGGCTGGGCAACTTAGCAAAGCTCTGCCTCCAAAAAAAAAATAAAAAGAGTTGAGGATGTAGCTCATGAGGCTCAGCGTGAAGGCTCTGGGCTCACCCCCAGTACCACCCAAGACACAACCAAATCATCTTCCCTAAAGACTCTTTTAATGCTGCCACCAATAACAGCTTAGCATTTCTTTCCAGCTTTCCACTTATTTAGTTCTGGATATAGAATTCTGTCTGCCATACACATTAAAAACCAAAGGTAATTTTGGTATTTCCAAGATTGCTAGTGATGGTGAAATAAGTTTTAAAGTTTCATGGCCTATTCAATTAACTTCTCTGAATTGCCTGCTTGTATCATTTGCCTTTTGAAACACCTATCTTTAACTTATGATTTATAGAAGTTCTTAATATAGACTAGGTATCAATGTAATCCTTTATAAATGCTACACATTTTTTTTCTAAATTGTCACTTGATAGTTGATCTTGTTTATGTTTTAGGATGAGACTCTTACACTGCTATCTAATAAACTTTATCTAGGGCCAGGGATTTAGCTGAGTGGTGCTACACCTGCCTAGCAAGCACAAGGTCCTGAGTCTGATTCCTGGTACCGGAAAAAATAAAAAATAAAAAAATAAGCTTGATGTATGTCATAGCTTCTGGGTTTTCTTTCTTTTAAAAGGCCTTTCTCACTCCCCAAATAATAGAAAAGTTTCTATATTTTTTAAAATATAAATTTAAAAAATATTTATCTACTTATCTATATTCACCCTAACCCATGTTTACCTATTTAATTGTTTACCTATGTTGCTCATAATGTAAAATGAGAATAACTAATTTTCCCTAGCAAACAATTACCTCAACATTTCATGAACAATCTATTTTCCCAATGACTAAAATTAATTTGCAATTTAATAAGCATTTATTTAGTGCAACTACACACCAGGCTATACTCCAAGTACAGGGGATACTCTTATTGAATAAAATAAACACAATAAATACCTTAACAATAGAAAAATTGTAAAGAATGATAAGTACTCAGGGAAAAAAAACCCAACATGAAACAAAGCACAATATAGTGGACCTTTGACTTATGAACTCAATTCGTTTGGAGGGCTAGTTGTAACTCAAGGTCAACTGAAGGCTCAGGCTCCTACACAGCCTTCAAAATCTCTCTCCTGTACACAGGTAGATCTCAGTGTCCTTAGAGAGACACTGGCCTAGGATTTCTTAACCCCACACAGGAAAGGATGTTGTAATGTTCCTTCCAGAACTCTGTAAGGGTTAACTCTGTATTTGACACCATCTGGAAGCATAAAGCTGGCATTTGGGTCGTAATTCAAGACTTTGGTCTCAAGTTAAAACTAACATTTTGGTCTTAACCCAAGTTGTTTGTATGTCTGGCCAGTTGTAACTTGACAGGCCACCATAACCCAAACCCAAACCAACAAAATGGGGTAATATAGCAGCAGCACTGGTCTGGTAGAATTTAACAACAGACTTCGTCTTATGGCATTCATCACGAGACACCATTTCCAGTTGCCATTCATATCATCAGGCTTTGCAGTATTTTTTGAATATTTAACAAATGGTATAGGAATGAGAGGATTCCAATACACCATAGTGTAAAGGTGACTGGGGACTATGTGTGGGCAGGTATGCAGAAAATGCTTGCATTGTCACATGAGAATGACAGCCAAGAAGCCAGAACAGTTCTTTGTGAGGGAAATGTATTTGATAGACTGAACAATGGCAAAGGCCCTATCTTGTTATACAGAAGAACTACTTAATGCTTTCTTCATTCTGTGAATTCCTGCGAGATTTGCAATGAGATTTCAAGGTCTTCCGGAGATAATCCCAAACATCCAATAGTTATTATTTAGATCTAAAATGTCCCCTGAAAGTCTCATGTTCAGAGATGGGGCCTCTACAAGGTGACTAGATTATGGGGCATTATACTCTTCAGTGGATTAGACCATTGATGAGTTCATAACTGACTGCTGTTAGGAGATGGAGCCTGGTCAGAAGAGGCAGGTCACTGGGGGCGGGACCTGGAAGGATGTATTCTTTGTCCTGGCTCCTATTTCTGCCTTGGAGCCTGCTGACTTTGGATGGAACTCCTTGGAAAATGTGAGCCAAACAAACCACTCTTCTTTTAATTTGTGAATGTAGGGTATTTTGTTCCAGCAGTGGAAAAGAAACCAACATTATTCAGGTAAACATTAGCCAATATATAGCTCCATCTATCATGTTCAAATTATGTCACTTGTATGTCTCAATGTCATTTAAACTTCTAGAATATTAAGAGGTTCTACTTTTACTGAGCTTGCTAGTCTGGCTAGCTTCCTAGTCAAATACAATGTATGGTATCATTGTAGGCACCTTAGTAGAAATACAAAGTTTCTTTTGCTGTGTTAGGATTTTATGTTTCTTATTTTGGTGTGAAGGGAGAGGGAAGCAACTGAGGGGGCTGGGAAAAAATGCTGTAGTGATAAGAATTAGATTGGTTTCATTAGAAAGTGAGCTCAACTATGGGGGCCACTGACAGTGGACAGACTGAAGCCAGGCTGTGGACTAAAGTGGTCAGGAGATTGTGGGTAGTCTATAAACAACGGAGAATCATGTGAACTCTGGAGAGGAGTGGAGATGGAGAGGGATTTAATGAAAATACTGTTTTTGGAAAATTAGTCATTATACCTACTCTTGCATCATCAAGGAGACGTATGGAGCTCAGCAGTCCACACCATGTAATGGTGGCAGGCCTACATTCACTTAAGATTTCTTTAATAGGGCCAGGGATTTAGCTCAGTGGCACTGCGCCTGCCTTGCAAGTACAAGGTCCTGAGTTCAGTCTGTGATAACCCCCCAAAAAAACGAAAAAAGATTATTTTAATAAATTAAGTCTCCCTTAATCTATAGGATCTGTGCTGAATGAATCTTATGAAAAAAGGATAACTGGTTATATTTGAATACCTGCAACCTAAGTGGCTCTATTTACCCACCCCCCAACTTACCGCAGAAAGACAGGAAGGAATATCAGGATTCTGGTCTGTGTGAGAATTTTATTTCATCATCCAAAATTGGAAAAGATGTAGGACCATGATCATACTTTCTGGACTGAAAATTGATAGAGATACTGTGCAACAAAGAACTGGGAAGAGCACGACTGGGTAGGTGGACCTAACTGTAGGCCACCAGCACTTACCTAGCAGTGCCTTCCTTGGTGTAGAACACAGAGTAGGTGAGGTTGTCCCCATGAGGATCAGATGCAGGTGTCCGCCACGTCAGTTTGATGAAGCGAGTAGAAACGAGGGAGGCCACAACATCTCGAGGTGCTGAAGGCAGTGGTCCCGCTGTGGCTGGTGCTAGATGGTCAGTAGTGGCACTGGTCAGTGAAGTGGGAGGTAATGTTGGGATGGCAACATCTTGTCATGTGCAAACATTGGGGAATATGAAGGGCAAACCACGACGGTTTTTAAAAAGAGAACAGAAAAAACAAAAAACAAAAAAGAAATAAACAAAACCACGATGGGAAATAAAATAAAATGAATGAACATAAAAAAGGCCATTAAACTGAAGGCTAGCATGCAGGGGTAACTACTGAAAACTAATGGGCACTATTCAAGACACATCACTGCTGAGCAAACAGACTTTCTGGTCACTGAAATGGCTGTGGGTAAGGGACATGGAGGGTGACAGCTGAGAATAACATATCTCAAAGGACACAGCAGTGGCCAAGTAATTTTCTTAATTCTAAAAGCAGCATGCAATATCTACCAAACTTTGCATATAAAACTTCATAATATGACTGACAGTATTATTTTCTACTTTACTGAAATATAGACTGCATGTAGTACAAGTGAGCAAAGTTACCCTCAACAGAGGTTATTGTGACCTCAGTGCAGAGCTGTGCAAGAGCCCTGAAAGAGGTCTGAAAGCTGCACCTTCAGCTTTAATCTGGTCTAGTATTAAACTCAGCTCTCTGTGTAGACCCAGGGAAGTTTGCTAAATTACACTTTATTTTTCATCCCGTCAATTCATTAACTATGACAGTATAAAATCCTGAATCAAAAATTCCAGATACAAATATACAATAGCCTAACCATTTGTTATAATCCTTACTGTGATGTGCTTTATGATGGCTTCTGGCCCTCAGGGCCTGGATACAGAAATGAAGTAGTGACATTAGTCAAAAGCCTCTGTCTTTATATCTGCAGCTAAGGGTGACTTGGATACCTCTGAAGGCTACCCATTCTACTATAGGACAGCTGTGGTTTAAGAAGTTTACTCCTAATACTGAACCTGAAATCAATTTCACTTTGGAGTCATAAAGTCCAAGCTGAATCGCACAATTTTTAATTAAAAGAGCTCATTCATCAGAATTGTGTCAAAGGGACAAGAGTGTAGCTGAGAGGCACAGTGCCTGCCTAGAATGTGTGTGGCTCTGGGTTTGATCCCCAGTATTCTCCCACAAAAGGAAGCGCGCCATTATTCCATAAAATTAATGGAAATTCAGAAGAGAGGCAGAGAAGAAAGAACAAAAATTGCAGCCCTAGTTTTGAACGAAATGGCAGGACGACAAACTCAAAGCTTGTGAACTATGAAAGACTATAAAGTGGAGCATTGTAAAAAAAAACTTGCTAAGTGGCACAGCATCTGCCTTGCAAGTACAAGGTCAAGTCTGATCCCTGGAACCAAGAGGAAAAACAAAACAAAGTAAACAAACAAACAAAAAACTTGCCAGGTGAAATGGCGAACCTGAGGTTTCTAGATAGGTGGAACCAAAGGAAAAGTAATTGAACACTTCTACATGGTACTCTTAAACCTTCTGTAGGTCATCTCTGTCTCACAACAACCTTAAGAAATCAGTACTATCACCTAATCTTTACCTTATACAAAAGACTGACATTTAAAAGGGCTAAATCAGTTGCCATAGGTAACAATAAGTGATAAAGTAGTAAAATTAACTTTAGTTTTTGGTCTAAGAGGCCTCTGGATTTAACCAGTAGGAGGCTGGGATCTTGACTGCCAATCTGGATGTATCACTGGTCACTGTGTTACCCTGGGTAAATCACTTATCCTCTTTTATTCCATTCTTTTCAACTACCTCAATGGAAATGTTTTCAGGAGTGCAGACTGCTATAAAATGTAATCAAGTTTTCCTCTAGATGTTGAGTACATATTTATTGAAACAAGTGTCAATGTAAGAAAATCAAGTTTGAATGGCCTTCGAGAGCCTATTCTTGTCCCATATGCTTCAAAAGAAATAAATATCCCTCATTCACAGCTTTCAGAGTTCTTTCTCATATATTATGTCAGTTTATTTACACAACAGGCCTGTGAGGTTGGGTGGAAATGACTGGATTAAATGCTAGGGTCAAGGTTAGGAAGGAGTCAGACTTCTGGGTTCTGATTTGGCTGACTGGGCTGTAGGAGGTGTCACTAATGGAGAAAAGGAATATTAAGAGAACAGAACGAAAAGAACATGATAAATTTGGTTTTGAACATGCTTTGTCTAAAGTAATAATCCAACATAAGAAAAGTATAAAAGCAACCAGAGATATAGATCTAATTACTATAAAATTAAGTCATTAAAAAACTTGATTGGGCAATGGTTCCAACAGTAGCCTGAACACAGTTGCTCTACCGCCTCCATGCTCTGACCTGACTTACCAAGCCTAAGTTCCCTAGCTAGTTACTCCTGGAGAAGAGGGAAGGGAAGACTGTTACTGCAAGGCAGCAGAGCATATTAAAAAGAGACAAAGATACCGCCCCCCACGCACACAAGGGATCAAACTCAGGACCTTGTACTTGCCAGGCAGGCATGGTTTCACTGAGCTAAGTCCCCAGTCCAAAAGACCAAGATTTTGACTGCAAAATCCTATGTTCAAAACCTGACCCTGCCACTGCCTAACAACATAAAGATAAGCAAGTCAGTCTGTCTGCCTGATCAGTCTCATCTGTCAACTAGGAACAGTAATGCTCCCTCTCTGTGTCCCAGGCTGATATGAACCTGAGAAATAGCAAGTAAGGAAGTGCACATGAATGCACTATGTAGATGTTACTTATTGCCCTAATAACTTTTAAAGGGCAAAAGACCTAAGTATGAAAGCAGGTATGGAGTGAGTATAAGCAGAGGGGACAAGGTGAAGGGAGTAAGGGCTTGCAAATGAATCACTCAGGAAAATTCCATTGCCCTACTGAACTTCTACAGCACAGATCTGTAATTCATTCATGGCTTCCAGTATTTCCTATTTACATCATTCATGTTTATACTGAATCACAACAGACCATACACTCCTGAAAGTCAAGATCGGTTCCTGCTTTGTCACTCACTGTACATGTCCACTTTAGATGATCAATAAATGAATATTTATCAAATTAATAAAGAAGAAAATTGAGGGGAATGTTAGTCAACAGAGACCAATGTTTCTACAATGCTGTTAAAAAGGCAATTATTTTAATCAATTTAGCTGTTAAATCATATACAATATAAATATTTATATAATAATACACCATTTACAAAGTAAGTATATTTTATCTGTTAAACAGGGAATGAGTGCAAAAATGCCAGATTATTGCCAATGGCTTAATGAACTTAACTATGGAAAAAAAATCTGTATCTATTATATAGTCTCAGTGTTCTTTCCCGATGTGGGTTCTAATGCTGCTGTTCCATGTCCTTGCTGAGCAAGTAAAGAGATATATATGATCACAGAGAATCAAACAGGCAGTTAAGATGCATCAGAATTCATGGCAAGATGCTGTGTACAGGGACTTCGGACTTTTAGCATGATGCTTTAAGGTTAACAGATTCTCATCCCAAAAGAACCACAGAGCTGAATAAAATTGTTAAAGACTAGAAACTTATCAAAAGCACACAGCAAGTGGAGAAGCATTTATTCATGAAACTATCACACTTCAGGTAAAAACAGCGCCTAAGCACCACCAGCTTGAGGATGTGTTCTTTGTAGGGGTAAGCAATGAGTGATAGACTAGCTGTGAAACAAGATGTACCATGAGGTGAGAAAGTGACCAAAGGTTTGGTAAACTCTCCATATAACCCAGGTTGTCTGGTACCACGCATTATGAGCTTCAGAGAATGAAGCAGGACCAAGTCTCCCACACATCCCTGGCACATGGAACCTATTCACAGATTGAGAAGACATGAGAGCACCTGGTAGAAAGGAGAAAGGGAGGCAGACTAAAAAAAAAAAACAAAAAACAAAAAACCTTAAGAGTTTGAAAAATACTCCCCAAACTATACAAACATCCACCAATTCAGAATGGCAGGCTCATTGAGGTATCTGAGCACAACGTGTGACCAATCCTTGGCTAAATGCTAACCTACAGATACACGGGTTAACCCGTAAAACAATCTGTAGACACAGATCCCTAGAAAACAAAAACAAGATAATAAAGTTCTCAAACTCAGCAAACATCAGTGGTTGCACACTCTGGGGAAGGCAGATTTAGTCCACATAAATGACCTAACAACAAAACAAGAACTGCTAGGGGACTGGGGGTGGTGTGTGTGTGTGTGTGTGTGTGTGTGTGTATCAGTGGTTGCACACTCTGGGGAAGGCAGATTTAGTCCACATAAATGACCTAACAACAAAACAAGAACTGCTAGGGGACTGGGGGTGGGGTGTGTGTGTGTGTGTGTGTGTGTGTGTGTATCAGTGGTTGCACACTCTGGGGAAGGCAGATTTAGTCCACATAAATGACCTAACAACAAAACAAGAACTGCTAGGGGACTGGGGGTGGGGTGTGTGTGTGTGTGTGTGTGTGTGTGTGTGTGTATCAGAGTCAGAATCCATAGTTGCTTCAAAATGTTATTCAAAAAAGGTGCAATGAAAAAGTGTGACTCAAAGTAAGGGGGTAAAAGAGCAGTCAATAAAAAATGTCTCAGAAGGGCCTCAAACATTTTATTTTGAAGCAAGTATTAACAAATATTCTATGAGAGCCAGGGATTTAGCTCAGTGGTTCTGCCACCTGCCTTGCAAGTGCAAGGACCTGATTTCGATCCCCAGTACAAAAAAAAAATTCTGACTCAGAACTCTACTCTTAGGAATTTACTCAAGAAAAATAAAAACAACTGTCTATACAAAGACAGACATTCACTTTAACAATATGCACTGTAATATTATAATTTATACTGGTAACAATCCAAATGACCACCAATTTAATAAGAGAAACAAAATGAGGTTTATCTATGTAATAGAATACTATTTGGCAATAAAAAAGAACGGAATCCTGATATATACTACTAAGTGAACAATCTCAAAAGTACAGTATTATGTTAAATGAAATAAGCCATCAGAAAAAAATAGATTCCACTTATAATGACTACAAAAGGTACTTTCATACAGTCAGAAAGCAAATCACTGATTACCTATGACTATGGGTGGGGTAAGTACTTAGT